TTTCGCTGCAGAGGCCAGAAAGGAAACAGAAAACAAAAAAAAGGAAAAAAACGCAAAAAGAAAAAAGTCGAAAAACGACGAAAAGAAAGAAACAAAAGAATTGAAAAAAGATTTGAAAAAAGAAAAAGAAATGAAAGAAATAAAAGAAATAAAAGAAGTAAAAGAAAATGAAAAAGATATTAATTCTGATGAAGACACAGAACGCCTCAAAAGAATCCGCAGCAGCACAGAGCGCTGTTTGCTGCTGCTGCAGCGCTGTCTTTTGAAGGACCCTCACAACGTGCTTGCGAAGCTCCACCTGGCCCAGGTCTGCTGCTGCTGCTGCTGCTGCTGCTGCTGCTGCTGCTGCTGCTGCTGGGGGTGAGGGGGGTGATGCAGTTCACCTTCTTTATTGCCACGTGCTGCTGCAGCACGCTGTCCCACGCCCGCTCCACTCGCCCGTAAGTCCCTTCCCCCAAAAATGCGTCCGAGAGGTAGTAGCGGCCGCCCCCCGTGGTGCGCCGCCCCTGCTGCTGCTGCTGCTGCTGCTGCTGCTGCTGCTGCTGCGGGTCTTGCTGCTGCTGCTGCTGCGGGTCTTGCGGCTGCCGCGGCTCTTGTTGCTGCGCTGCCGCCTGCTCCCCCGGCGACTTCGAAGCAGCTGCGACTGCGTCGGAGGCCTCCATCTTCACGCGCTTTCGAGGCGGCTCCTTTGCTGCTGCTGCTGCTGCTGCTGCTGCTGCATCTGCTTCTGCAGCCGCTGCCGGGGCGGAAGAAGCTGCGGGCGCAGCAGGGGCAGCGGCAGAACTATCACCTGGAGCAGCTTCAGAAGCAGCTTCACCCTGCGTTGCTGCTGCTGCTGCGGAGAAGCCAGCAGCAGCAGCAGCAACAGCACCACTGTCAGCTGCTGCTGCTGCTGCCGGCTCCTCCTTAGCCTGCATGGCGCTTCGGCAACCTCTGCGTATGTGGCTGCTGCTGACGCTAATGAGATTCCTGCTTTGCTGCTGCTGCTGCTGCTGCTATGACTGCTGCTGCTATGACTGCTGCAGCTGCTGCGCCACTGCTGCTGTGACTGCTGCAGCCACTGCGCCGCTGGTGCTGCAGCTTCTCTCGACGTTTCTGGGGGGGCTCTTGATGTCAACCCTGTTACTCCTTGTTGCTGCTGCTGCTGCAGTCCTGCTGCCGCTGCTGCTGCTGCAGTTGCTGCTGCAGTTGCTGCTGCTGCAAATCCGACTCCAGCGTAGCTGCCGTGTCTGCAGCTGAACCGCCAGAAAAGAGCGACAAGCCCTTTGGAACAAGCTAAAGGTGGTAGAAGAAGCTAGGGTTTAGGATTTAGTACTTAGGGTTTAGGGTTTAGGGTTTAGGGTTTGAGCCAGCAGCGGAACACGCTGAGCCTTCGGGCCTCCACCCCGGCTGTCCACAGGCCTCAAGTCTTCCTGTTGTTAATAATTAATTTTAATTAATTTTCACAAAAGAAGAAGACTAATTTTATAAAAGAAGTTCATGCGCAGAGGCTGCCGCATGCAGGGCTTCAGCAGCAGCAGCAGCAGCAGCAGCAGTTGCCGCTGCTGCCGCTGCAGCGAGTGACAGAATATTGTTATTCCGCCGAGGACAGAAAATTCCACAAAGAATTTTGCTGCTGCTGCTGCTGCTGCTGCCGCTGCGGGGTGTGGGCTCAGCACACTGTCGGCGGCGCCAGCAGCAGCCGTAGCAGCAGCTGTGTAGCAGCAGCAGTGCCTCCTTCCGTATCCCTTCTGCGCTGCTGCAGCAGCAGCAGCAGCAGCAGCGAGCTGCAGCAGCGCCAGCAAGGGCAGCAGCAGCAGCAGCGAAAGCAGCAGCAGCCTCCCTTCGGGGGCTTCTATCAACTACAAATTTTTTGTGTTTGTCCCAGCCTCCCTCGCTGCCCCCAGTCGTCCCAGCAGCAGCAGCAGCTGCAGCAGCAAGACCAGCAGCAGCAGCAGCAGCCTGCATACCATCCTCACCACCACCACCCTCACCAGCAGCAGCAGCAGCAGCAGCACCTGCTGCAGCAGCAGCGTCGGGAGCAGCAGCAGCAGCAGCACCTGCTGCAGCAGCAGCGTCGGGAGCAGCAGCAGCAGCAGCACCTGCGGCAGCAGCAGCGTCCCGCCGCGCGGAGCGCAGCCCCCCCGCAGCAGCAGCAGCAGCAGCAGCAGGCGTGCTGCGGGGCTCGCTGCTGCTGCTGGGAGGCAGCATAAACTCCCGTTCGCTGCTGCAGCAGTTCTACGATCGGCTGCCGCTGCGGCGGCGCTTCAGAAAGGCTTTAAAGAAAGGCACTTTAGTGTGGGGCAAAGGGCAGCTGCTGCTGCCTCCCGTTGCTGCGCAGGGCCACAGCCTCAGCAGCAAGCTGCTGCCGCCGCAGCACAGGCAGCAGCAGCAGCAGCTGCAGCAGCAGCAGCAGCAGCGCAGGCGTGTCTTCAGGGGAGATATCAGCAAGCTCAGGGCTGAAAGGATCTGGTTCCAAGACTAAGCAGCACTGCGCATGCTGCTGCAGCAAGTGCTGCTGCTGTTGCTGCTGCAAGTGCTGCTGCTGCTGCTGCTGCAGCAAGTGCTGTTGCTGCTGCTGCAGCACAACAGCGAAGTGTGGAGCTCCTGTGAAACCTCTGCTGGCAGCTAGCCATGCAGGGGCAGCAAAAGCAACTTGGCCGAAACGGCAAAGGCGTTTGCGCAAAGGTTGAGGGTTTAGGGTTTAGGTTTAGGGTTTAGGGTTTAGGGTTTAGGGCTCAAGCGTCTCGTGGGACAACTGCTTCTGGGCTCTCGACTGCGGGTCCTGAAGCAGCAGCAGCAGCAGCAGCACGGCCCTTCGGTGCAGCGGCAGCAGACCCCCCTCGGCCCCCGCAGCAGGCCTGGAGCAGCAACAGCAGCAACCCTGACAGCAGCAGAACTAGCAGCAGCAGCAGCAGCAGCATCGCAGTCAGCGACAGCAGCAGTAGATCCGGCAGCGGCAGCAGGTGAGCTAGCAGCAGGAGCCGCAGAAGCAGAACTAGCCGCACCATGAACAGCAGCAGAACTAGCAGCAGCAGCAGCAGCAGCAGCAGCAGAGCCTGCAACAGCAGCAGCAGCAGCAGCAGCAGCAGCACTTGCACCAGCACACCACGAGCAGAACCCTCAGCAGCACCAGCCCCAGCACCAGCACCAGCACACCCACCAGCACGGCCGCCAGCGCTCCCAGCAGCAGCAACAGCGGACCGCCCAGCAGCAGCAGCAGCAGCAGCAGCAGCAGCAGGGAGATAGGCCGTACCTTCTTTAATCAGGGTGTCTAAAATTGCGGCCTGGTCCCACACCTGAGGTAGCAGCAGTTCCACCGCATCCACCTGCTGCTGCAGCAGCAGCATCTCATCCTGCGGCTGCTGCTGCTGCTGCTGCTGCTGCTGCTGCTGCTGCTCCTCAGCGCTGAGGTACGCAGCCCAGGCCAGCATCACGCAGAGCCCGTAGGCCCCGTGGTTGGCAGTGGTGGCGACTGCGGACAGACAGAGCCATGAAGAGGGTTTAGGGTTTAGGGTTTAGCGGCCACCGCTCCTAGGGTTTAGGGTTTAGGGTCTAGGGTTTAGGGTTTAGGGTTTACTGATGGTGTAATCTGCTGTGGCCTCGTTCGCGAGCCATTCGCCATCCTCGACGTGCTTTACGACAGCTTCCTTTATGCGCCCCATCCCCAACTCATTTCCTGAACGCACTAGGGTTTAGGTTTTAGGGTTTAGGGTTTAGGGTTTAGGGTTTAGGGTTTAGGGTTTGGTTGCTAGGGCGTCGGGCTCGTTGCGGGCCTGCAGGGTCTGCACTCTCGCCTCTGGAGCAGCGCCTGGCGGGCTCGGAGCGCGTCGGGGCGTAGGGTCTAGGGTTTAGGGTTTAGGGTTTAGGGTTTGGGGTTTACCGAGGGAACCGATGGTGGTGGTTTGCACGCGTTTGGGGTGTACAGACACCTCAGCAGCCCACTCAAACAGCAGCGACAAATCTGCTGCCCACAAAGTAATGCTGGTGAGGTTTGGGGCCCAGTATTCCCCCTCTTTGCCTCTTCCTGGCCTGCGCAAACCCTAAACCCTAAACCCTAAACCCTAGGCCCTCGGCGCAGGCCCTGGGGGAGGCCCGGCGCGGAGGCGCCGCCGCGGCGCCTCGCGCCGACGCCGCAGCTCCAAACCCTAAACCCTAAACCCTCAGCCACAGCAAACCCTAAACCCTAAACCCTCAGCCACAGCAAACCCTAAACCCTAAACCCTAAACCCTCAGCCACAGCAAACCCCAAACCCTGAAACCCTAAATCAATAAATAAATAATAACAAATAAATCAATTATTAGGAATGATAATAATAATAATAAATAAAAATTAATTAATTAATTGATTAAAAATAAAGACAGTCCTAAAGCGCCTCCAAAATCCAATAAAAGGACTCCGAGGGAAATTCAAAAAGGTGTAAAAAGAGGAAAAGGAGGAGAATAAAAATAAAACAAAATAAAATAAAAATAAAATAAATAGGGAATTAAAAAGGACTTCAAAAGGACTTAAAAAGAGCTTAAAAAGGAACTAAAAAGGAGCAAAAAAGATTCAAAAAAAGCAAAAAAGTCCCACCTGCCAATGTTGATTATGTGGTCTGCTGCAGCAAACAGCTGCTGCAGCTGCAGCGCAGCAGAAGGGCCTCCCCGGGCCTTCACTGGAAGCACTTCTATTTGAAGTCTTGGCTTCAAATAAATAAATAAATAAGTAAATAAATAAAATAATTAATTAATTATTTTAAATAACTAGTTGGCTATGTTTATCCGAGACTGCTGTCGAGAAATCACGGAAAAAGCAACCAGCAGCAGCAGCAGCAGCAGCAGCACAAGCAGCAACGACAGCAGCAGCAGAAACGGGAGCAGCAGTAGAAGCAGCAGCAGCAATAACAGCAGCAGCAGCAACAGTAACAACAATCGCAGCAGCAGCGACAGCAGCACCAGCAACAGCAGCACAAGCAGCAGCAGCACCAACACCAGCACAAGCAGCAGCAGCAGCAGCAGCAGCAGCAACAAGGGGGCGTCGCCTGACCTCGTGACCTTTCTGTTTAGCTGCTTCTTCAAGGGCCCAAACTTGGCTGCTGTGGATTGCAGGCACCACTTGGGGCGCATTCACTTCATCTGCAGCAGAAGGTTTAGGGTCTAGGGTTTAGGGTTTAGGGTTTAGGGTTTAGGGTTTGGAGTTTCAGTGTGAAAGCCCTGCTGTTGGCAATTTATCAGCGCGGCAGCGCTGCCCCCTCTCGCGTCCCTCTCCCTCTGCTTCGCAGGGCTTTGGGTTCAGGGTTTAGGGTTTAGGGTTTAGGGTTTAGGGTTTATGGTTTAGGGTTTACCGGTGACGAAGATGACGCGTTTGTTGAGCCTCCAGAGCGCAGCAGCAAGCGCGCAGGCCCCCCCAGGCCCGTCTGTGTCTGTGGGAGGCCACATATTAGTGTTTGCTGCGCTGCCGAGCAGCAGCAAAAGGGTTTGAGTTTGAGGGTTTAGAATTGCTGCTGCAGCACGAGCGAGGTCCCCCTGCAGCGCCGGGGTGTACAGACACCTGCGCTCCTTCAAACGCCCCCAGGTCTGCCGCTGCCCCACACACAGCAGTTCCAGCTGCTGCCCCTGGGGGCCCCACGCTGCAGCATTGGGGGCCCCTGGGAGGGCCCACGGCCACAGCTGCGGCTCTGCTGCTGCTGCTGCTGCTGCTGCT